GTGCTTTCTGGGTCATGTGTTGTTAACTACAGTTTTATTCAAGGTCACACGTATCCTGTCCCATTGATCTGTGTCTATCTCCCACCAGTGCCACTTGGTCTGGGTTATTCTGGGTGTTAGTCACTTCCCACTTGTACAAAGGCTTCAGTTATATCTTGAAATTATAAAATGTGCTGGTGAAGGTGGATTTCTGGACATTCTTGAACAGGGCTTCAGGCAGAACCTCCATCGTTATCCGGTATCATTCGTGAGTCCCAGGCAGCACGTACCCTGATCTAAAGATCTAGACCTCTCTGTCCTTTGTCACTGATGGAGACATAAACCAGGTCACAGAACTTCAGGGACAGAGAGTCTGTGGATCTGGAGTGAGATTGCTTGTGTCTCACAGATGTGTGTTTCATGGCCACGGTTTGCTTGTCAATCTCCGTTGTCCATAATGATAGCCAGTGTTGGGTTGGAATGACCACTGGCCATTTGCAAAATGGAGTGGAGGGCAGGACAGTCCACCCTATAACAGGGCTGGCCTTGTTCTCTGTTCCCAGCTCATGGTGAGCCCAGAGTCTACACCACAGCACTGAGAGAGACCCCACCTCTGTCCTGACGACAGAAAAAGCAGGGACCGAGGGCAGTTAGAAACCTGATCTGTGTGAGCAGAGAGGGGAAAGTTCATGACCACTGTGGTAACATCTGTGAAACATCTGGGGGATTTAAGTGAATAGGAAGTATTAAATTCAACAAGAAGTAATCGCTTTCTGGACTCGTCTGAGTCCCTTCACCTTTGCCACATGGGTGAAGCCCAGTCCCCTCCATCAGGCCGTTAGGATTTCTGAGAGAAAGATTTAAACACATAGCTAACTGAACCTTTCTTGTTTAGTGAACACTGCTTCTGACACCTGCAGTGCAACTCTGGTCCCAGGGCCACAGCATCCAGTAGGAGAAAGGAAGTCGAGCTGATGTGGGGACGACAAGACCCCCCGGGATGCGATCCTCACTGTGAACCCCCATTGAATGACACGGAGACCTCCTCAGCCTGTTCTGGGCTTTGATCTGAATGTCTCAATTCTGGGGTCAGTGTGTGTTCCTGGATTTTGAAATTTTCAGATTGGTAAAACCATCCTGTCATCCAGATTGTTGCTAGTAAGACATCCTGAAGTCCTGGAAAATCAAATTTTAAATTTGATTTTATTGTGCACTGTNCTCCCCTGCAGGGAAGTTTGTGTCTGGGCTCACACTGACTTCCCCTCACTGTGTCCCTCGCACAGTAATACACGGCCATGTCCTCAGCTGTCAGGCTCTTCAGTGTTAAATAAACTTGGCTCTTGGAGGTTTCCTTGGTGATGCTGAGGCGGGACTTAAGCGTTGGGTTATAGGCTGTGCTTCCACCACCCCACACAACACCAACCCACTCCAGCACCTTTCCAGGAGCCTGGCGTATCCAGTGTACACCATAGCTGCTTAAAGAGAATCCAGAGACTGTGCAGGTGAGGGACAGGGTCTGCGAGGGCTTCACCAGTCCTGTGCCCGACTCCTGCAGCTGTACCTGGGACAGGACACCTGGGGACAAGGAGAATCAGTGTCACTCACGTGCAGTCACAGCCATCCCATAGGCCTGTGTCTGACATCTGAGACCCTCACCTTGGGGGGCTGTCACCAGGCACAGGAGAAGACCCAGCAGCCTCATCTTCTTCTAGACCACAGCTCTGCCTTCCCCAAAGACTCAGCCCTGTGTGAGGAGAGAGCTGTGAGCTCACAGCCCAAGGAGGGTTTTACCCTGGAGCCTGCAGAGAAATTTGCATGTGGGGCAGCCTGGTCCTGATAAGTGGGGATGGACTGAGTCAGGCTCCCCCGGTCCTTCTGAGCCACCTCCGTGTGTCTTCACTTGCACACAGGAACTGTGTGAGTCTGCGATGGGAGGCCCTTGGTTCATGAGGCACATTACAAACAGGTCTAAGAAGTCCCAACTTTCTGAGCATAAGAGTGAATGTGTAATCTCATGGATTTTCCAGTAGATAGTACAGAGGATTGGTTTTAGGTCAAAATATCCACTATAACCTCAAACATGAAAATATCCATGATGGACAAGGCTTTATAATGATAATTTGATGTCAAGTAATATGTTGACTTCACTTTTGTGGTAAACATGGTCCCAAAACGTAAGACTGTTTTTCCCAAGAACTACCCCTTTTGTAGGAGCAACCAAAAAGCACAGGCGGGCTTGGAAACCCTTCATTCTCACTGCGTGGGGCTTAAATTTGTGTCTAAGGCTCTTGTGCAAATACTTTCCTTAAGCCACCCTAAGGCATGTCCCAGGAACCCTCACCAATTACATCAGACAGAATCACATGTGTATATGGAGAAGAGTCAAAAATAGAAACAGCCACTAAGCATCTCTGTAACCCCATGTCTGACAATATTGAAATGATACTTGCAGATCATAACTGACCCGTTTTTTCAGAGTCTGGTATTAACAGTTACTGGGTGTTCAGAGGTAGGAGGAATGGGAGGGGCCCGAGCATAGATTTTCTCAGAGGAAAGGACACTGTGACCCCAAAAGGACCACTTTCCCTGCTTCACCTCCCCCTGCCCCCGCCCCTGAGCGGGGCCCTGCGGTCACAGGGTCCTCGGCTTCTGCACAAAATGTGAAGTTCTTTATATTCAGGAGACAGCACTTTACAAGATACTATTGAAACTATTTCCAGTAGTCTCTGCTCGTCTTTTCATTCCCTGAACAGGGTCAAAGTGGGACACAAACATTTAACATTAACAATGTTCACTTTATGAATATTTTAGTTAATGGATTTCACTTTTCAGGATTATCTCAAAATTCACCACAAAGCCCACTCTCCCACGAATATCTCCTGTCACTTTTTCTAGGCTTTTAATGAGGAAAGTCGTATCCTGTGTTCACAGAGAAGAGTGGCGATCCTGGGGTTATAAACGATGAGCAGTCTCTGCAGGGAGGCAGCTCGCTCCCTGAAAAGTGCTGTTCAGAGACGAGGCAGGTGAGCTTCCAGGTGAGACAGAGCCTGGCCCTTCTCTCCGATGGTCAGGATCAGTGCTCGACAACGCGAGTCCATCACGAGTATTTCAATTTCATGGAGCTTTCTAGTTGCTATTAAACAGGATTAACATTTTGTCCACACACATTTTATTATCTAAAAAATCACATTAAACATCGCCCCCATTGACAAACTTCATGATCATAATTTCACGTGCAGTCAGGTGCCACATAACACTCCACATATACGATGATCATCCCATAAGGCTATAATGGAGATGAAATTTCCTGTCACCTCGTGACGTCATAGTCGTTGTAATGTCAGCACCACACCTTGCTCAGGTGCGTGGTGATGCTGGTGCAAACAAACCTCCACACTGCCAGTTGCATAAAGTCACAGCACATGCAGTCACCTTAGCAGGCTGTACCATCTGGGCTGTGTGAGTCCACCCTGTGATATTCTCATAGTGATAAATCTGCCAAAATGCATTATTCCATCCTTAGGTGTTGCATGACTATAAACAACTTTGGATGTCAGC